CTTTTCTTGAGCACATGCCGTGATGGTTCGTCTTGAGAGGGGGTGTCAGGATTGCCAGCTTGGCAAGACGAACCACTGCGAGCTTGTGAGCTAGGGTATATTGCTGTGTAACGGGTGGAGAGAGGAGAAGACAAGGAAAGACAAGGAAAGCATTCTGAGGAGACACGATCTTATCAGCCATCACCGAAGTGAGATCTGTGTTGACCACCCTTCATGATGCCATACATGGACAGAAACAACTTTGACTGACTGGCCAGTCCATCGGTCTTATTAAAGTAAAAGCACTCTTACTCTGGGACTTACCGCCCAGCAGATCCTCTATTCAGCTAACTACAGGAAAGGTCCTCACCGGCCTTTTTCGCACATGGGCGCAGCAACTTGGTTCTTGCTTATCTGAGCCGAAGTCTTCGCCAGCTAACTGACAGATCCTAACAGGTCTATCAGTGTCTTGCGCAGTATCAGCAGCAGTCAACTACTAGCAGTACTTGAAGAAAGACAACAACAACATCAACAAAGCAGACAGCAGAGATGACACTCAATCTCGAGACCAAGGCCACCTTCCCCGTCTTTACCGGCAGGAGTGGCGAGAACGACATCAAGTGGCGCGAATGGGACTTTACTCTCAGAGCCTACTTGGCAGCAAGAGAGATGGATGTGAAAGTCTATCTACCTACTAAGGATGAGGACGTCCCGCCGATGAAGATAGCGGTGCCACAGATGGATGGCAATAATCAGCCCGTGGTGAACCAGCAGGGACAGCCAATCCTGATTGAGCAGGAGAGCTCCAACGCCAAGAACCTCCGATGGCTGTTCGGCTTCCTCGCCCTGCAGACAGCAGACAAGGCCAAGCGACTGATTCAAGAAGCATACCAGAAGCACGGCGAGAATGGTGCATGGGCGTATCTAGAACTGCGGAAGCGGTTCATACCTGATCGTATCGTATGCAAGCACGAGCTCTTGCAGCGATTCTTCAGCTGGAAGATGATCAAGGACGATCTTGACGACGCCCTTGGCGACTTCAGCTATCTCGTCAGCCGCCTTCATGAAGTCGGATCAACAGTGCCAGACGAGACGATGATCGCCGTCATGCTATCGGCACTGCCTGAGAGATTCGACATCTTCAAGGCAACCATGGCGCATGAGTCAGCATCCCGCGCGTATCGTGGAGAAGCACTGACGTGGCCGCAGTTTGAAGAAGCTCTTCGCAACGCGATGTTGCGAAGTGCTCACGATGCCCTTCGCCCCTGTCTGTGGCCCTGATGAAGGCGCTCGGCTCAGATGACTGGAAGTGTAGACGCATGTGTCTGGATGTGATGGACGGATGGATTGGATGTCGTGGACCGTGTGCTGATGGAGAGGATGCAGCCCTGGATGAATGGATGGATGGATGGAGCTGATGCTGATGCTGATGGATGACAGGCTGAAGGATGGTAGCCGTGTGTAGGCAGGCAGGACGACAAGCCGTAGATGGGCACAGGGGAGGCAGCCAGGGAAGAAAGAGGGCTGCTGATGAATAGGTGCGCTAGATAAGCCCGCAGTGCATGCATGCGTGGGCTTGGGGGCGTAAGACGGGAGAAAGGAGAAGTTGGCCAAGCGAGTTAGTGCCGGTTGTGTTTCATGATTGTTATCGTTGGCTTCCGATATGACTTGAGTCATTCTCTTGAGATCTGTTGCTTCGGCACGATCCTTGGTCCTTCCGACCATATTCCCTTCGGCAGGGCGTCTTCCAAGCCGCCCTTGGAGCCGCAGAGTGATGGTGGAGTGCGCATGTGAGTGATGGTGGAAAACGAGTACGTCGCCCGGCTGGCCACCCTCCCGGTGAGTCCTCAGCGAGGCGACACGAGTACTCGTACGACAGCTAGCTGCCCTTCTTGCATCATCTTCCCTCAGCCAGATCTTGCTCTCTCTCTGAGTCCATCTGCCTCCTCGTCCTTCCAGGACTCATCCCTGTGCTGACCTACTCCTCTCCTCTCTTCCCGACTGGCCGGATGCATGTTTTGGGATGCTTTTGG